CCCCCCCAGCAACCTGGGAGCTGTTTGTTCCTCCCACCTGCCACGGAACCTCTGGGGTGTTTGGCGAGCGCGGGAAGGGGCCGGGACGCGGGGTGTTAAGAGGGGGGAGCGCTAACAGTCAGCAGGTCTGTATTTCTTCCTGGGTTTTATAAATGGCTACTTTTAGCTGGAGGGGGCGTCTCTCTGGTCTCAGTCCCCCCCCTCCCCCTGGCTCAATCCAGAGTCACCCCTGACTACACTGGGGGCAGGGTTCTGAGCTCAGCTCCTGGCATCAGTCCAGAGTGACTTCCAATTGCACTGGGGGCATGGCTGGGTTCTGAGTTCAGCTCCTGGCGTCAATCCAGAGTCACTTCCAATTGCACTGGGGGCATGGCTGGGTTCTGAGGTCATCTTGTGGCGTTAATCCGGAGTCACTTCCAATTGCACTGGGGGCATGGCTGGGTTCTGAGCTCATCTCCTGGCGTCAATCCAGAATCACTTCCAATTGCGGTGGGATCAGGGCTGGGCTCTGACTTCGGTCTCCTGGAGTCAAGCTGGAGTCATCCCTGAGTGCACTGGGGGCAGGGCAGGGCCAGGTTCTATTTTCAGATTCTGGCATCAATCCAGAGTCACTTCTGATTGCACTGGGGGCAGAGCTGAGTTCTGAGCTCAGCTCCTGGCATCAATCCAGAGTCACTTCCGATTTCACTGGGGGCATGGCTGGGTTCTGAGCTCAGCTCCTGGCGTCAATCCAGAGTCACTTCCAATTGCATTGGGGGCAGGGCCAACTTCTGATTCTAGCCTAGGGTGGAGGTGCCAATCCATAGTCCAGATTTACTCAGTGTAAACCAAGCGCGGAATTCAGAGTGGGTTCAGACTAAGGACCCGGTCTGAGTGAAGAGCCCCGGCAGTAGCTCTCGGCTTGTTCCTGTCGCTGCCGACACAGCCCGGCTGCTGGGCCCAGCCACGTGTCCGTCCGGCCGTGGCTTCCAGGCGGGGAGGACACGGGCGCATGGCTGAACGAATGAAAGTGATCGGGCGACGCTAGCGTTAATGGGGGAAGGGGAGGGAGGAGAACCCCAGGGCAGGTACTGGCTGGCCCAGGGGGGTGGGGAACAGGCAAGGGGCCTGTCTCCCCAGGGGGGCGCTGGCACCTAGCCGGCCAGTGTAGTGTTTCCATTTGCAGCTGAAAGTCTGAAGGAAAACTGAGAGAAGGGTTTTTTTTGGGGGGGGGGGGGTGGGGGGC